CCCTTTTTCCCCCCAAAAGTCGTCCCCAGGGACAGACACTCTTCACCACCCGTCCGTGACGGCGCCGTGGCTCGCATCGCCCACGAGCTTGGCGTACTTTGCCAGGACGCCCCTCTTGACCCGCGGCTCGGGGGCGCGCCACTCGGCCTTGCGGCGCTGCATCTCCTCGTCGGACACGGCGGCGTCGAGGCTGTTGCGGACGGCGTCGATGGTGACCTCGTCGCCGTCGCGCAGCAGGGCGATGGGCCCGCCGACGGCCGCCTCGGGGACGACGTGGCCGACGATGAAGCCGTGCGAGGCGCCGCTGTAGCGGCCGTCGGTGACGAGGGCCACGTTGTCGAGTCCGGCGCCCATGATGGCGGCGCTGGCGCGCAGCTGCTCGGGCATGCCCGGCCCGCCCTTGGGCCCCTCGTAGCGCACGACGAGCACCTGGTTGCCGTCCTCGCGGCGGATGGCGCCGCGGGCCAGCGCGTCGTTGAGGTCGCGCTCGCGGTCGAAGACGCGCGCGCGGCCCGTGAAGGACAGGCCCTCCTTGCCCGTGATCTTGGCGACGGCGCCGCCGGGGGCCAGGTTGCCGCGCAGGACGCGGATGTGGCCGCTCGCCTTGATGGGGTCGTCGAGCGGGCGGATGATCTTCTGGCCCGGGTCGAGGCTCGGCCAGTCGGCGACGTTTTCGGCGAGGGTCGCGCCCGTGACGGTCATGACGGAGCCGTCGATGAGGCCCTTTGCGATGAGCATCTTGAGCACGCTCGGGGTGCCGCCCACGGCGTACAGGTCCTCCATGAGGTAGCGCCCGCTGGGGGCCAGGTCGGCGAGGAAGGGCGTGCGGTCGCTCGCGCGCTGCACGTCGTCGAGGGTGAGGTTCACTCCTGCCGTGTTGGCCATGGCGAGGAAGTGCAGCACGCCGTTGGTGGACCCCCCGAGGATCATGGTCAGGACGAGGGCGTTCTCAAAGGCCGCGCGCGTGAGCAGGTCGCGGGGCCGGATGTCGCGCTCCATGGTCGTCTTGATGACCTCGCCGACGCGCTCGCACTCGCGCGCCTTCTCGGGCGACAGGGCGGGGAACGACGACGACCCGGGCAGGCTCAGGCCCATGGCCTCGATGGCCGTCGCCATGGTGTTGGCCGTGTACATGCCTCCGCAGGCGCCCGCGCCGGGGCACGCGTGGCGCTCAATGTCGTCGAGGACGTCGGCGCCGCCGCGGCCGGGCTGGCCCGCGCCGTGCTTGGCCTGCAGCTTGCCGTAGGCGAAGGCGCCCGACGCCTCGTAGCAGGTGCTGATGTTGACGGGGCGCTCGAGCAGCGACGAGTGGCCCTTGCGGATGGTGCCGCCGTAGACCATGATGAAGGGCCGGTTGTGCCGCGCCGCCGCCATGACCACCCCCGGCATGTTCTTGTCGCACCCGGGGATCGAGATGTTGGCGTCGTGGTGCTGCGCCGACGTGACCGACTCGATGGAGTCGGCGATGAGCTCGCGCGTCTGCAGCGAGAAGCGCATGCCTGCGGGGGGGAGCAAATTAGCATCAGCATCATCAGCATCAGCTTTTTGGGGCCGCTCGTCGTCGTGACGACATAGTGCAGGCAGGGTAAGGCGGCGGCGGGAGGAGATGTGTGTAAGAGTGAGAGAGAGAGAGAGAGAGAGTTCTGGTGAACCCCCGAGTGAAATAGGGGGGCGGTCGTGAAGGAAGACAGAGGAGCGAGTTGAAGATGAGATGAGAGATGATTCACAAAGACGCACCGTCACCGCCCATGGTAATGGCGTCCGACACGCCCACCGTGTTGAACTGCCAGCCGAGCATGCCCTGCTTCTCGACGGCGCCCTTGATGATCTTGCCAAAGTCGAGCACTGTCCCCCTGCGTCAGTAGACTGGAGCACTGAAAAGGTCACAGGAAGCCCTGTGGCCGCCGGGTATATCACTCACGATGTGTGCTGCCCACCCCCCAAGACGTGTCAGTCCCTTTTCCATCTACCACATGCAACGCACTCGAGAGAGGAGGAGCAGGAGGAGAGAGGAAAGAAACTCACTTGCACGGGTTCCCCTCCCACCACACCGTCGCGATGCCCACCTGCGGCGCCTTCTTCATCATCTCCTTGTTGGGCACGCCCGCGCCGTACAGCATGGCCTATCATCACCACCAATTCACACCGCACGTCAGCTCAGACCGTTCCATCCGTCTTCTTCTCCTTCTCAAACAGAAAAAATTGGGGGGGGCCATTCTTTACCTGGGCGCCGGGAAAGTCGTGCTCGCGCGTCAGCGTCGTGGACCAGCGGTTCAGCGGGCCCCCCGGCGGGAGGCACTTGAACTGCACGTAGTCGGGCGACGACTTGGGGTCGTCGCCGGGGACGGGGCTGGTGCCGTTGGTGGGTTCTGCTGTTGTTGCCATGGTGGTGCGCTGGCGTTTGCAGAGGTCTCTCTCTTTTGTGCTTTTCAACTTCCCTCTTGTTAGTCCAGGTGAGTGGGTTTCGCGCGCGCGCGTGTGTGTGACGTATAGGTGCCTGGGCGTGGGGGGAGTGAGATGCGGGATGTGTGAATGTGAGTGTATGTGTGAGTGAGTGAGTGAGCAAGTGGGTGGGTTGAATGATGATGTGTGTCGCGTGTGTGAAGCCCAAAAAAACACACAACGTCGAAACGATGCCGCTCTATCAATCCACTGCGCGACTTGCGGCGACGATGGCGGGCGAGGAGCAGAGCGGTTAAAAAAACGACGACGACAACAACATCAAAAGGCGCGGTCGTTCCCCCTCTTTTCCCGCCCCGGAAACCGGATCGAGTCACCTATTTGTACGAATTCCGATCATCGGGGCCGCCGCCGGCGTCGCGCTGCCCGCCGTGTCCCTGTGACTTTCCCTGTGACCTCTCTCTCGTCTCTCCGGGCCCGAGGCCGAAATGGTCTCGTCGGCGGGAAATAGGCGGCGGGGGAGGGGAGGAGGAGGGGCCAACCCACAGCTCCGTCGACCGGGGCCTCCGCCCGTCGTCCGTCGCCCGTTTCGTCTCCTTCCACCGGCGCATCGTCCGTGTGCCAGCGCGCACGCCATTGTGAAGGAGAAACACAAAGGACACTCTCACTCACTCACCAGTCTTGCCCGGGGGGGTCGGGCAGGCAAGCAAGCAAGGCTTCGCTCGTCCCACAATGGATCGATCCTTGGTCTCTCGATGGTACTCGACGCCGTGTGACGACAGGCAGTAGTAGTTCAACAATGCGGACCGTGGGGCGGAATGCTGGGCAAGCAGCTGCAGCTGAAGAAAGGAATCAAGGCACGCCTTGGGCTTGGATAGAGGCAGAAAGCTTGAAGGCGGGCTTCGTCCCGCGCGCGCACCGCGTATGTGTGTGTGTGTGTCTCCGCCCCTCACTCTTCCGCTCTCTCTCTCTCTCTCCTCCATCGGGCACCTCAGCATCACGAAAACCGTCCACCAATGCACGACAGAGAGCTTCAGCTCCACCTTCACGCGGGGCAGCCGCCCCTCCAAAGGCCGCCCGTCGAATCCCCGCACGCGCTTTGCCAATCCGCCGCACGTCAAGTTTCAATACCCG